GCCCCCCGGCCGTCCGCTGGGCCGCCGCTTAGGGCGGTTTAGTCCCCCTCCTTGAGCCGGCGCCGTGACCCCTGCGGGGCCTGAGGGTTGCCGCCTCGGCCTGCTGCCGCCTCCTGTGGTGAAGCGGCCGGGGGAGGGGGGGGGGGGAAGGGGAGAGGGAGCCGAAATTAATGCCGTGATATCTCTACGACACGGGGTGGGGGGTAGCGGTGGTCCTTGGCCCTTGTCCTGCCCGTTGTCTCCTGCCTTCTGCTGCCGCCCCTGTCAGCAGCCCAGGTGTGTGCGTAGCTGTGACACGGTGCTAGCTAGCTAGCTTTTGGCTAAACTGACCCCGTTCTTTATTCTTTGCTTCTTCCCTTTGGCTCAAGCGGACAGAGGATGGTACAGGCCGCTCCCGTGCGCGTTTTGGAACTCAAGTGGTTTCAGGTTCCATCTCGGATTAGCAGATTTAACTGAGTTTATTAGCAATTTGCTATACAAGTTAGCTAAACCCTCGTTTCACTAAGTACTAATAAAACACTCAGCATAAGAATATGGTGCAGTTTATGGTGCCAACATTAATTAAAGATAATCTAGATTTGTAGTCATCATCTACTGACTTGGTGGAGCACAGGATTTAATTCTTTGGCTGTAGTGTTTTAATGTTCTTTTATTGTCCTTCCAGGGATTAGCTTAAGCTTGAAACATCATTGCTTTGACTAGCTCGCTTCTGCAGGATGCCACAGAAGATCGGTTTTATAGTTGTTAGTTCATCGGGACACGAAGATGGCTTCAGTGCAAAAGAGCTGATGGTTCATGCACCGACTGTGAATGGATGGCGATCACCCAGGTACTGGAAGCGGGAGGTGCGGAGCCCTGAAGCACTGAGTTTAAAATGAGCAGGAGGTGTACCTTGCATGGTCAGAGTAGTTTACAGCATCCCAGACCAAACTGATTATAAAACCAGAAAACTTACTTTAATCCCGTGGAATCCTTATCCTGGGGGAAAAAAAGCACCTTGGTTACCACCTAAAGGCATCGCATTGCATTTAAATAAAGTCCTTTAAAAGGAAAAAAGGGAACCATTTTTGTTCTTGTCAGTCTTCTTGGAGTTTGCAGCCGCTTTGGCTTAGTGTTAAAAATCCAGTCTTCTCACCACATCTTCTAGACATGTATGGCGTACTTTAACATATGCATGCATGCGATAAGGTGAAGAGTGTTTCTACTCTACTCTTTGGTTTATTTTTACAATATCTGCAATGCTGACTTAAACTATAATAACTTTGGAAAGTTTAATAATTAAATGTTACTTGAGTTGGAAGTGAAGTCATCTTTAAAAAGGTGATTCAGAAATTGTGTATGTTTTCAGACTCTGTCAGTATCCACAGGAAATTGTTCTGCAGTTGGCGGAGAGGTGTCGAATACGAAAACTGCAGTTGCTTGCTCACCAGTACATGATTTCAAGCAAAATTGAGTTCTACATCAGTGAAAGCTTGCCTGAATACTTTGCTCCTTATCAGTCAGAGAGATTTCACAGACTAGGGTAAGTCAAAAAGCTCTAAATGGTTTTATTACCTTAATCAGAAAGGCTTCAGGAGGAAAGAATATTCATTGTGCTTTGCATGCAATATTAATACACTGTGCTGTAAGCAGTAAAGAGATCCCGTACTCACTTAGATCTGTAACAAAGCTGAAGATGTAGGTGAACAGTCTTGTCAGATGACAGCACACATTGTTTCAGTTATGAGAGCGCTTTAAACCATATCAAAGTGCTAACTTGAGGAGCAGAAATACAGCTGTGTATTTGTACATTTCCTCTGCTTACTTGTTATATTTTCCTTCTCAGTTATGTCCCTCTCTCAGACAATGAAAAGACTGATTTCAAAGCACGAGAGTTAAAATCTGTGTATATGGATGCAGTTGGCCAGTACCTGAAGCTGATTTTCCATAAAAATTATGTCAATAAATACAACTTATACGGTCAGGTAAGTTGAGTTAAGAGTCCATACTTGGTAAGCTAGATGGCATTTCAGTAGTACAGAATGGGCATAGAAATCCACTCCCTTGGTTTGTAGAAGCTAATAATGTTGTTTGAAAGCTCCTGGGTTTATTTTTGGTTTCTTTTAAAATGGAAAATACAAATAAGAGGTTGTAAGTGACTTGGAATCATGACCAAGTGCATGCAACTTATCCAGAACAAACGAGTCAAGTGCATGTTCCATTACTGCCTTCCATTCTGAGTTTTAGACTGCACAGCAGGCTCTGTGCTGAAGACAAAATGCTTTCTCTGAGAACAGCTTTGCAGTTTCTACAAAGCCACTCTTAGTCTTTAGGATCTGATGTGGCATTAAGTGGAGGTGTTGTGTAGCCATCCCAATACAGAAAAAAGCAAATATCTGCCTCAGTTCTGCAGTGACTCTTCACTTCCATTCCAGAGCAGTGCAGGAAGGGAACAACTGATGACTGTACACTGTGGTCTGTAGATGAATGTGGTCTGTAATGAAGCATGAAGTACATTTAGCACTTAGTGCTTTTCTTTGCTTCCATACCACCCTGGAGACCACAGGTCCTGCTTTTTTTTGTTCAAATTTTTTTGGTTCCGTTTTCATAAGATATGGAAATGTAATAACCTTATGCATTTACATTTTCTTTAAATCTATCCCAGGTTGCCCTAGTAGCTATAAACATTATTGGAGATCCAGCAGACTACAGCAATGACAGCAATAATACTGTAAGTGCAAAGCATCCCTGTCTTTTTAATGTTGCTACACATACTCAGTTACAGGGTTCTTGGGGTAATGGAATGCATCTTTCTTCTGCTAGTTTCTTGCTGTAGCAGAGCTGCCATGTATTGATTTTTTTTTTTTGTTATCTTGAAGCAAGAAAGTTCTCAAAAATTGAGCCTAATATGTGGATACAAAAAATAAAACACAATCAATTGGAACGTTTACATTTTCAGCCTCTCCAAGATCTCTTGTTTCAATATGCCCCAAAACATAAGTATTATAAGTAGTGTAGCTTATGTTGATTGTGGCAAGTCACAATTTCTGTCCTGAACACATACTTGATGTTGAATGTGCATTAAGATTTTTTTTTTTCTCCCCCCTTACAAAGCCTTCCAGAGAGAAGCTGATAGACCACTACTTAGGAATTAAATCAGATGACCCTGCCTTAGATGGAACTTACCTTGGGTAAGGATGTTTTTTTGCGTATACCCTGGCAAAATGTCTGCTCAGTCTAAAGTAGTTCTCAGTCTCTATATTTTGTTAGTTCCCTGCTAGTGAAGAGAGATGACATATGCTCAGACTGGTTTATTTTGGATTAACTGAAAGGTTATTTTATCCATTTTATATCTTCAGGAAGCCTGACTCCATTTCACCTCTGGATGATTTGGCTTTTGACATGTACCAGGATCCAGAAGTTGCTCAGATAATACGTAGACTGGATGAGAAGAAGCGTGAAGCTGTCCATCATGAACGCTATGATTATGCCAAGAAACTCAAACAAGCTATCGCAGACTTGCAAAAGGTATTGTTGAAAGACTGTTTATCTCTTAAGCCGAACAGTGTTCCCGTGGTCCCTCAGGGACCCTAGTGTTCATGAGGAATCATAATGATTTCCAGTATATTTTCAAAACAGTAATTTTAAAATCAGATAGCTTGATTTAGTAGCTTGGCTGGAAATACTGAAATGTATACATATATATGGTAATGTGATTCCAAGCTAGCCTGTTATACCACCTTCTAGGTAGGGGAACGACTTGGTCGATATGAGGTAGAGAAGCGCTATGCTGTAGAGAAAGAAGATTATGATCTGGCTAAAAAGAAGAAACAGCAAATGGAGGCATACCGCCTGAAGGTGTATGAGCAACTGGAGCTCCACGACCTTCTGGATGCAGACCTGATGGTGGGTACTGTTATTCCTAATTCAGGAGGCTTTATTCTGTGGGTGTTGTAAATAGAAATGGCAGAGCAACCAAAATAAATTCAGGGAAGAAGAGTTGTTACACAGGTACTTTATGACAATTACTTAAGGATTTTAAGTTTTCTATTTGGATTGTGGATTTCCCTAACCAAAGGCTTGCACGTCGCATTTTATGAACATGCTTAGTTCTCCATAGATAACATTACATTAAACTGTTAAGGTCTCAAGCAAATGACATTAGAATCCTGAATGTTTTGCATAATTGCAAGGCTACCCACTGCAGATTCATAAGGTACTTTCTCGTATTTTGAAGGGGTATAACAGTCTTATGCTGGCATCATGGCTAACCACAGAGAATTAATGTGATAAAATATAGTTTTATATTGTTCTCAGAATGGGAAGCTTTAAAATCTCTCCACACACGCATCTGCACAAAATTATTTTCCAATTGTTTCATAAAGCTGCATCCAGTGGCAATGATTACATGTCTGTGAGTGAGGTCTGATATTTACTTGAAAGCAGCAGAACCTTGTTGACTGTCAGAGTTGTAGCTGTGCTAACTGATTTTAGTACATTGCTAGCCTTGCTTTACAAAATCTCCTTCCTTTTCTCAGATTCGAAAACCACCTGAATTGCCTTTGGAGTCTATGATTTATACTGACAATCCTCAGCGCACAAAAGCTACAAATTCACCTCCTTGTGAGCACACAGAACCGCAAAAAGGAGAGCCATGGAGAGCAGAGCCTTTGCTGGAAGAGAAGTCAGCAGATCCCTCGTCTGCTAAGCCTGTTGCTCCCCATCAGTCCCCTCCTCCTCCTCAGACTCATCCTGCAACCGCCAGGGAAGTGTTTCCCAAAGAAAATGTGAGCAGCGTACGTCTGTTACTGCAGAAACCTGTCAGAGCAAATGATCTTGTATTCAACCTTCCAAAACAACAAGGTCTTTTGTGGTTATTCTTGTGGCTTATATAGTATCTGAAATTGACTGTGTTGCTGAGCAGTGCCCATCTAATAATTGGCATTGGTCTTTCTCTTTCCTGAATTTCTTTGGAAGCCTTTACAAATGTTCATTGAGTCTTGGGCAAAAGGGGATTATACCTGGTTTCCAAATAGATGAATGGAAGCAAATAGACATTAAATGACTAATCAAGGGTCATACAGCCAATATAGTGGTAGCTGAATTCTGCTTGCTCCTTTAATGGCTTAATAAATCTCCTTCTCAGAGATCATGTTGGATGAATCTACAGCAGCAAGGGAATTTGTTGGAATGTGGTTGTAGGGTAAGAGTCTTGGTGTCATGTCTAAAGAGAGGAAGAAAATCATACTATCTAGTTAACCTGATCTTTAGGTTTTGCTGCTTCAGCTTTTGGCAAAGCTAATGAAGACTTGTGTTGACTCTAGTAGCAGTAGTATTTGCTCTTAACGGGATGTTGACTTAAAATAATTTAACAAATAAGGCTTTATGACTTGCTGGCTTCCTGTCAACAGGTGATTTCTTCTGTAGATGCGTGCACTTCCACAAAAGGCATTTTGTGTGTGTTTTATTGTATTCTATAAACAAGAAATAAGTTTTATTCACAGGCACTGATTCCATTTTTTCATGATGTTATTATGGGAACTTCAACATCTGTACTTAAATGTAAAGCAGTACTGCTTTGACGGGGGAAAAAATGCATTGAGGTGAATCCAAGTAGTGATGAAACAACTCCATATCTAAGTCATTTCTAGAATAGCCAATTTTGTCTTCTCTGTTAGGTTGAATTTTTACCTTATGATGAGAGACCTCTTCCAGCTATCTGCAAACAGCCTGATGAAGCAATTGCGTACCTTGAGCCGGAGATGGCTGAAGGGGCTATCGATGATACTCCAAGAAGTGGCATTACTGGGGAACCAGAACCGTTAACTGAGAAGGCACTGAGGGAGGCCAGCCCTGCTATTGAAGTTTTTGGAGAAGCTTTGGTAAAAAACAATAAAATAAACACATAGATTATTGTGGTCTGTGTTGAGTTGATTTTACATGCACTCTGTCAACAAAGATCTACTGATACGGTTTTTACATGTTCAGAGCTGTTACTTGAAAGTCTGAGATTAGAATTTGACCTTGGATATGTGGGTGCCTGTTTTCAACACTTATATGATGCTGTAGCTTTTATGATTGATTATTTGATGAGCTATTAAGCAGATAGTATCTGGTAGACTGCTTTAGGGTACGGACCCTACCAGAATACCCATAACTTGCCACTGTCGTTTGCAGGGAGAGAAATCGTTGCTGTGCGCGAAATGGTTCCTTGACCCTGACCTGTTAATCCATTTTATTCATCATTTTTCAAAAGTATGTGCTTTTAATAAAAGCCAAATTCCTGTAGGAAACACCTGGGGATTTCATGCTGAAGTTCATATGTTCTTTTGAGGCTGTTTCTATATATAAATATTGAAAGATCAGTATTGACCTTTTAAGAGATAAACTTGTTCTGTGTTCAGGTTTCAGGAGCATATTCCAAAACTTGGTCGTATCGAGAAGACGCATTACTGGCTGTGTATAAGAAGCTGATGGAAATGTCAGTAAAGACTCCAAAGGACGATTTAAAGAACATGCTGAGAGCAGCCATTTTTCTTGTAAGGAGAGCCATCAAAGACATAGTGTCTTCAGTAAGTTGTGATGTGTTTGATAAGAAATGCTCCAGTGAAGAACTGACAGCAAAAATTGTAGAACTGTGTGGTTAAGGCACTTTAAATAATTTAAATGGTTTGTAAAACTACTGTTGAGTAAGTTAAAAAAAAAACAAAACAAAAACCGAAACAAAAACAAATTAAATGTCAGCTTTTAGTTAGGATCAAGGACTGAGCAAAGTCTGGCATTCAGCAGCATGGAAAATACTGTCCTGGGCTGAGTAATGAGCTTGAGAAACAACTGCTGATGCAGTAAATGTGTACTGTGGTTGAGCCTTTTTTGGGGGCAGGTGTGTGTAAAGTTGAAATACAGCAATGAAGTAACTTTTAATTTCCAACTTGAGAGACTACAGGAGACTTAGGCTTCAAATAAGCCTTAAACAAGAAGAAAAGAAAAAAATCAAGAGCTGTGTTACTCTTTATAAAAAAAATTCTGAAGCCTTTCACCTAAACCCTAGCGACATGTTTTCTGGAAGAGAGGTATCTGAATGAAGTAGATTTTACCACATTGTCTGAAAACAGGGATCTGTGTGGTATTTTTGTCTAGTGTTTATTTTTTCTTTTTAACTTAGGTTTTTCAAGCTTCCCTGAAACTCTTAAAAATGATCATTACCCAATATATACCAAAACATCAACTAGGAAAACTAGAAACTTCTCATTGTGTAGAAAAAACGCTTCCAAGTTTGCTTTCTAGAACAGGAGACTCTTCATCCCGTCTTCGCCTTGTGGCTTCTAACTTCATTCAGGTAGGTGTTTTTCTTCAAATTACGGTTTGACTGCATTAAGAATGTCACAGAGCTTACAGGTGGATAACATCTAATCAGACTTGACTTCAAGACCAGAGTTTGGTGCTGTAAAGGATTATGCCTTACATGGAAGGCAAAGTGGGAGCACCAACTTAGTATCTTTGCAGTGTTTTTTCTAGCCATGTATTGTCACCTTTGTTGTGGGGGACAGTGTGGGGAGATACCTGCTGCTGCAGATGCAAGAAAGGTACGACTCTTGCATTCTTCTTAATTGCAAGTGATCTACAGAGATGAGAGCAAGAAAGTACAACGTACTGCTCAGGCTGTGTTGCAGTTTGATTGCATTTTTGACAGTCAACTTTTGAAAGTCAACTTAGCATAAAAAAGATGCCCATTTTAAAAGACACAGTCCATTCTTTGCTCAATTGTTGACAAAGAGCAGCTGTGAACAGCTGCTAGAGGATTACAGGCTCTGTTTTCCAGTAGAATTTAGAAGAAAGAACAGTAGTTCTGTGTGAAAATCTGTTAATTCAGTCCTGGGAGTGGAGTGGAGTGAGTCACTGGCTCTGGGTTATTTATCCTTGCTTGCATCCACACATGGAGGGAAAAGACTTCTCTTTCGCTGTAGACGTAACTAAAATTTTAACAGGGTTAATTGCGTAAAGTGCTCTGGTGTGTCACTGGAACCCCAAAGGTGACAGGTTACTTTATTACTACTGCTTGGCTTGTTTAGAATAGATTTTGTAATTGAATGAGAACAGAAATGAGAAAATGGTTACAGATATATTTTTGTAGACGGGACATGGCCTGGAGAGAAGGAAAATGTGTTTGTTTTGTATCGCTGCTAATAGATGATACCCTGACTGAATAAGCAGTTCTCTAGGGAAGGTGCCACATATCTCTAGAAATAAGTATGTCCAAAACAGACCAGCCAACCTGGTGACAACTGCATCTGGTCCTCAGGAAGAGGGACTGCAGGACACCATCATCTGCTTGAGTGTCTGTCAGCTGACAGGAACTGGGAGGAGGGGTGCTTTGGGTTATTAAACATTCTGCTACCTGCAAAGAAATAAAACATTGAGCTTTGAATAACAGCAGAATTTAGCCCTTTGCAAAATAGAATGAGAAGTTATAAGATGGCATGTGTTTTCTGAAGCACTCTTGAAATCCATCTTGATGCAATGTCAAGACTTTGCATCCTTTGTGACACTTCTCATCTACCTTCTCCTCAGATAGTTCGGTGTAAGATGGAGTTCTTGAAATTCTTCTTACAGCCCAGTTCTATAACTCTTGCTCATCTGAGCATGACTAAGATTTTATCGAGTTCTCAGTAGCTTTCTCTCTGATGCCAAAAACAAGACCAAACATCTGTGTAATCCTCTTTTTAAAACCTTTGCAAGTAACTTCTGGCTGCTGAAGTAAGAAATAAGCAGCTACTTCTTATGGAAGGCTTATTTTGTTTTACTTAACTTGTTATAAGTAACTTAGAATAACTCTACTTTGCAAAGACAGTTAATTTTCCTCATTTAGCATTCCTCCATGCACACTGACTCTCTGTATGTTTATAGGAAATGGCACTGTGTAGTGAAGTTAAACCTCTTCAGATCGTTCCAGTTCATTTGGTTCAACCGTTAAAACCAAACTCCCCAACACATCTGGCGATGAGTCAAGTGGAATTAGTGGCGTGCCTATTGAAAGACATGGGAACTGAAAACTCTGGGTTTACCATCAGCAATGTCATGAAGGTAGGAGTCTGAGTTTACAGCACATGAAGTGTTTTCTGTTGCTGTTTTATTGGGGCTTATCTGTCTGCTTTGGAGTGCTTGGTGAATTACTGAAGAGAATTTGAGCCTCTTGGAGGTGACAACACACAACCATGTGAGGAGGCAAGATGCCAATATGGGGAAAAAAGAATCACTGGGTCAAAAAGTGTTTGGAAAAACCTTTCTCTATGAAGATTTCTCCCACTGCAGTGAAATAATTGTCTTAGACTAATAAGTCCTTAAAAAGAATGTGGGAAAAGAGAGGCTCTTTTTTTTTTCCCCCCTCTTTTTTTTCTTTTCAGTTTGCAACGGGAGCTTTGGAACACAGAGTTTATGAAGTTCGTGATGTAGCGTTGCGGATTATCTTTGATATGTACAGGCAGCACAAGGCTGCTATACTGGAATATCTTCCTCCAGATGATGCAAGCATTCGCAAGACTGTTCTCTATAAAACACTCTTTGATGGATTTACTAAAATAGATGGCAAACTTTCTGAAGCTGAAATTAGGGTATGTAATAAGATTGCAGAACACATGTAGCTACTTTAAACATTTCATTCAACTGAGCAATATACTGATTTCATAGTTATATTAGACATTGAATGACATGCATAGCAGAGTATCTTAAGGTGTGTTGTTAACATTATTTAGTGTAACAAGCTGGTGTTCAGTTTATTACATATACTTAATCTTATGAATAAAGCCTACAAAGAATACAGAGATGGTACTTTTGAAATAATGCACAATCATTTTGGAAAATACACATATACTATTTTATGCTGGCTAGCCTTGGAAACAGTAAGCACAGGGGAAATGCTATGTGTTTCTTTCAGGCTAGTACAGAGGACTTTGGGGCAAGGGAGGTGTTCCTGTAACACACCAATCATTTAACCAAGCAGGATGTTTCTTGTACTGTATTGACCATTTGTTCTATGCTGATGTGTTTTCCAATCTCTCCTATATGACAGATGGTTCAAAAACTTGTAATTAAAAGAGTATTTCTTGACAGGCACAGAGAAAGGCAGCAACAGAAGAAGCAGAGAAACAGAAGAAGGAAGAAATAAAAGTTCTGCAAGGTCAGCTGGCAGCTCTAAAGGAGATAGAAGCAGAAGTTCAAGCTGGAAAGGTTAGGGTGGTTTGGTTTTGATTTTTTTTTTTAAATCCTTTTCTCCTCAGGTATCACAGGCTTAGATAATTAACATTACTGTTGTCTCATTAAAAAAAAAAAAAAAAAAAAAAAAAGAGAGGCTCCATGACGTACTCCTCTTCAGCAGTCCAACTTAAAAACTGTGTGTAAATTCAAGAGTCTTTCTACAAGTCTGAGTGTTTCTATACCAGCTAGAGTATAGGAATTGTACCGAGTGCGTCAAGGCCCTCCAGAAGCATGCTGTACTGCACATCCATTAAGTTTTATATCTGAACCTTAGAAAGGTAGTCAGCTACCCCAATGCCAGGAAGTAGGACTGTTTTACCCCCCTCAGAAGATTGCTGCCTTAATACCCGAGAGATCTGCTGTGGGACCAGAAGCACAAACATTGTAATGCACTGGCTCTGCTTCTAAGCTTTTAATTCCAGAGGAAAATCAGAATATAATCTGTTCTTTTTCTCCCTGGCAAGCATCACAGTCATTAAGCAAATTTCTGACTTAAATTTCTTTATTCAATAGGAGAAAGAATCTGATTTTCAGAAGCCAAAGAATCAAGGTAGGTAGTTTCAAATAGTATTAAGAAATGTAGAGATATTTCAGGATGTCTTTGAAACACTGTGGATGCTTAATAGATTATTGAATTATCTCGGTTAAAAGCATGCCAGAGTGCTTCAGATTGGCTGAGTCTCAACCTACCATAGAGGTAACCATTAAGTTCACGAAAGAAAATTTACCATCAGCTAACCAGTTAATTTCTAATAAGAAATTAGTATGGCTTGGCTTGAAGCCATTTTAGGTTTCTCCTCAACCTGAGGCAGAACAGCTATTACATGTAAAAATAATCAGTGAAATATTTTACTGTTGCGGACCCCTAAAGAAATAGTTTCCCAGCTGCCTGCAGGTATCTTGTCTTGCAGTGCTTGTTTACCAGTATGGCAATGTTATGATTCTATTAGATTATTTTTTTTTCTGCTGTTAAGATCCAGAGAAGCAGTATTTCTAGGCATGCACAAAAACTAATGAAAATGTGATCTTGGTTTTAATAGTTCTCTTTTTACAGGTTACCAGGTAAATGAAAGCCCACAGCCTGCAGCAGCAGAGATTCCAGATGATCATGCCTCTGTTGCAAATTACTTGGATAAGTAAGTTAGATGAGCAGCTTCTAATCACCTTAAGCACTTAGTATATAACCTGCAAGCTAATAATGTTAATAACAGTTTTCCAGTAGATCAAAGCTAATACCTTCAGCGTTGAAACAATGAAAATGTAAATCTCTTCTAACAGACTTGGAGTTATCGCTAGGCAATCCTAGATGTTGATTTCTTAAGTTCTTGGATAGCATGACCTTGAACTTGTTTTCTGAGTAGTTGTTTGTGGGACAAGAAATTGCCACAGTTTAATGTTCAACTGCCAGTATAAAATAAGGCAAAGGTATATGGTAGTTTTCATGTGAATTGTAGCATAAGGGCATAGAGAAAGCATTTGAAAATTCTGGAGCCGTGAAAGCCAGTTGCAGTGAGCTGTTCTCAGTGCTTTTGTAAAATTATGTCTTTCTATAGGAACAAATGCTTTATAGTTGTATTCACCATAAATTATATAATAGTATCTGTTCACGTCCTACCCTAAGGCCAGCATTATATGGGGAAAATGAGGTACACCAAGATGTTAGCTATTTTTCAGAATAGTTTCTAACAGAAGAAACAGGGTTCATTCATTTCACTCTGTGATGTTACCGATGTTTGTATTTTTTTTTCTAGCTTATGTATTTTTTGTGGGGAAAGGGACGAATCCTTCACAGAGGAAGGATTGGATCTCCATTACTGGAAACACTGCCCTATGTTAACCAGATGTGAGCACTGCAAACAGGTTAGGCATAAACTTTCTAGAGCTACTACAAGACATTAACCATTGTTATTCTGGTTTTAAGGTGCAATACGATACTTAGCCCTAAGGTAGATGAATTCTGAACACAGCTGTGTGATCTTGGGTAGTGCTTCTCTAAAAGAGCAGCATTATAAATTGTATTAATAACTGGACTAAAATTTCATTTTCCCTTTGTCATTTTGGAAAGTGAGATTTAACTTCCAAAAATTGCAGTTTTTTAAATACTATCCTTATTTACTCAGTGCAGTACAAATCTACAAATCTTTTTGGGTGCCTCTTGCTCTGTTGCAGGTGGTGGAAATAGCAAGCCTGACAGAGCACTTGTTGACTGATTGTGATAAAAAGGACAGCTTTGGGAAATGTCAACGATGCAGTGAGGCCCTTCCAAAAGATGAGTTGCCCAAGCATATTAAGAGCAAGACTTGCAATTGTGAGTAGTTTCGAACAGGAAGGTTGAACTTCAAAGGTCAAGTCAGTCAGACTTTCAAATACTGCAAATCTTTGGCAAGTCAGACCGCTTCTGTTTAGGTACCGCATGGTGGATTTAGAAATCTAAGTAAATAGAATAAATGCCTGAGTTTCCCAGTGCTTGAAATGCTTCGCTTTTATGAAGGTATGGGGGGAGGATGAGTGAGGAGAACAGAAAGCCTCTACCACATCCTTGTGGATTAAGCCCTATCACTCCTTTTGATCTTGTTTCAATGTAGATGATTAAACACGGGACTTCTTTGACAGCAGTCAATGGTAATAGGGTAGGAGCTGGTTTAGCCATAGGGTAGTTTTATGCTCTTTGTTGTGCAGCTTCTCCTTTTGTATTTGAAATTAGCCTGTCTTTGCCATTCTTACATTATTTTTCTAATCGTTTCAGCTGCCAAACCAGAAAATGTGGCAAACCATTGCCCATTGTGCCATCACAACTTTTCCCCAGGAGAGGAGGTAAGACTGCCTTCCAGACTGATCTGCTGTTGTTATGTCAGTGGGAGTGAATTCCTGTCCTCTTCTAACACTGGCTTATACCCACCAACTTAAGAACTTGCCTGGATTATTGCTGGGGTCTATAATGGCTACCTCACGCTCTGGGGACCATAGTTGAACCTGGGTCTTTTGCCCTTAGAGGTGTATATGGGAACCACAGGGCTACAGGCTATTCAGTGTCGGTCTTTCTCCTCCTGCAGAGGCAGCTATACACCTTACAGCTTTCCAAATTCCCAACTACTACAAGATTCTGTGAGTTCACTTGTCAGCCCTAGTGTTTGGAGTGAGATTATGCAGCTTAAAATACTGCAACAGGACTGAGCACATCCAACAGGGCATCCAGGATTAAGACTATGTTGATTTTGGTATAAGAAAAAATTGACATGAAGAAAGTAAGCAAGAACTGCTATAATTGTCAAGAGAGTTGAGGTGGCCTCTCTCTAATTTCTGCACGCTATTCCCTGTAACTGCCTAATGCTGTGAAATCTCTGACACGCCAGCTCTAATTGCCTTCTGCAATTGAAAATATGTATTGGTATTATATAAAAAGCAATTTGTCCAGAAAAGACTTAATATATCTGTTTGAGTCTTTTATATGAATCATCTAACACTACATTATGATCATATTTAAGTAGTTCTGTGTATGATTTAATTTTTGGAAAAAGGCTATCCAGGGAGCAGCTAACAGCACTATGCTGAGTATTAGATCCAGTTAAATGTCATTGGCTGATACGTAATCTATGTTATTTTCTTCCTTTCAATGGGACCATTGAGTAGTGCTTCTGTTCTCAACAACAAGTTTTTTCCAAATTTTTGCTTTGCCCAGCGCGAGGAGCTCAGAAAATACCGTAACCAAGTCTGAAGAGTTTGTTGAGAATGTATGTCTTGTTTGGATTCATTTGGGTTTTGGTTGTTTGTTTTGTTTTTTTTTTCTTCTGCCCAAATTATTCTTGTAAGTAAGAGGCTTCACATAGCCCTAGTTTGAAGAAGCTGTCATGTTCCTGTAATAGCAGTTCCTACTCCTTCGGGTTGCTGAATGCTTTAACTATTACCATAACCTTGTAGTTACGCCCATACCTTTTCGGTTTAAAATATGTGTAGAAGAAAAGATTTTTGATGTTATTTGTATATTGTTCTTTCCTGATATGAACTCAGCTGTTAGTTAAGAAAATTTTAAAAACAAAATGAATGTCACTTGTTTTTAATTTCGAGGATCTGTCTGGGTTTTTTTATTGTGATGTACCTTTTAAGTTATATTAAAAAATTGATATATTAATTTCTATTTCACTTAGTAAGTCATAAGGTGCTCATGCTTTTATGAGTAAGCAGTTTTAAATGCTGTTGCCATAAAGACTGTATACAACCCTCATTTTCCCCATGTTTTAAAAAGTATATGTGCATACATAGTGACTAGATAAGAGATCGGCTAATTTTGCTGGTATTGTAATATCACTTCTTTTTAATTGACTTTAGGCCTGGAAGTCTCACCTAATGGGCAAAGATGGCTGTAAAATGAATCAACGGAGATTATCCACAATAAATAAAACTCTTCTGTTGCAGCCTAGTAAGATATTATTTTATTATAATAATGATTACGCTTTTTACTGTGTTGCCTTTGCTTAAGAAAAGTATTTCATCCTTGAGAGCAAGCTGGCTCTTAATTAGTTGTTCAACACTTTTTGCATTTGTGTAACCTAACTGGTATTTCTCATGCTGGTATAGGCTACAGTATACGTAGGGAGCAAATTCTCAAGATCATTCAATAACAATAATTTCAAAATGAGGGCATTAGCTCAGTGGATTGGGGAAGCTGGCATATCTGATAATTTGATCAGTTCAGGGGTTTTCTCCGCCATAATAGTACGACCATGAATAGAACAATCAGCAGTGATACTAAACAGTTAACATTCTGGAAAGCTCCTGAACGCTGACACAGAGAACCGGGAGCCTGATTTAGCTTTTAATGTCCAATCAGAGGATGCTAATCTAATCGTAATTACAAGATGAATTGAATAGTTAGTGCTGTGTACTGCTTTTCCTTTTCAATTCAGACCCAGGAGCTAGGCAGAATTTATGATTGTGCAGCTTCTTCACCAACAAAGAGAAACTGATGCTGATGTCAGGTGTTGGGGTTTTTTTTAACAGTTGTCTTTACGAAGCACATGCAAAATCCTTTTATTTCCCGAACACAGAAGTTAAACAAGCGGTTTTCACTGCCTGCAGCACCAAAACTCTTTTGGCCAGTAGGATCCAAAACCTGTCCTCCTTCAGACTTTTTTCAGAGTTCTTTAGTCCACTGCATGTTCAGGTTGTTGCTAGAGTTAACCTCCTCTGCCTGATACTTGGCTTTGCTCATATCTGCGTTTCACAACTACTCCAAGTTGTGAACTGTTGAATTGTCTCTTTTCGCTGTCACCAGTGAAATGCGGTTAAACTCGACAGTTTCCAGTCTTGAACTGGACCTACAATCATGTCTGTCTATCCGTCTTCAGCTTTGCTGTTTCTACTTGCTAATGAGAATGCTAGTTAGTTTACTGCTGCTTAGAATTCGGAGACATAGAAGGAACTTAAATCCTTCCTGGACACAGCTAAAGCTCCAGAGCAATTTCCTAGACATAGGAAAGGAAACCTGACCATTTAGTCCTACCACTCCTGGTATGAGACACACCTCACCCTGGATGCCTGCCAACTTTTAGTTGCTAGTACCAGTCATTCGGACTTAATGTATCTTGAGAATCAAAATGGGGAGTTAAGATTCAAGTCTGGGACTAGATGTGCTCGCAATAATGATCTGTATTTTCTCTTCACAGGCAAAATAGGTGGCCAGTATTTAAGGAAGCCAGGTCCTTCAGGAGCAAAAGCTCGACCTCCCTCTATAGGAAGCAAGATCCCAACCCCAAGAGGGGGCCCAAATAAAAGCACTGGCAAAACATACTCAAAGCGATGACAGGACAAGTATTTCTCCCTATGTCTTAATAACTGGGCATGTAGTTGTTAATAGTTATTTAAAAATTGTGGGCAACTCATATAATCTTATTTGTTTGACTACATAGGACTGTTTACCAGCCTTGAGCAGTACTTGCCTGTCTGGTAACTTTTGCATTAGCTGTCTGTGCAGCACTGTGCTTTTTCTCCTAGAAATGCTCATGTCAGAAATATGCAAAATGTTCTGGGACAGATCTAGCCTGCCACATTCCCCATATGGCACAAGGAAGGCCGTGCATTGGTCTTTGGTTCCTCATGTTAAAAAAACTCCCCAATGAGTATGGAGTTAACACGGCCACACTGTGCGGCTGCTGTCACGGTCAGCACAGAGGCTGTGCCCAGAGGTTATGCGATTCCTCTGGGACCGTGGTTCTAACAGGCTGGCTTTGAGATCCAGTAAGGAATTTCCTTAAGGTCCAAAAGCCACAGTCATTTCTGTTTTGGCTTTCTTTGGGGGAAGAGCAAGAAACTGACCAAGCAGAAATTGTACTAGACTTTCAGGACAGAGCTGAAAAGCATTTGTTCTTTTGATCTAAGCGTGACACTTGTTTGCAATTACACGTTCTGAAAGGTTGGCAAGTAATACCTGTATTAGCTGACTACCACCTGATCACTTCAGTGTAATAATGGCAGAATATATTGCTAATAGTTTTCTGCCAAAATTGACTTTATAACATGCTGAAAGTAATAGTGTCAATAATTTTTGTTTGTCTTGCCGTCAGACACTTGTGGTAGACAAATGGGTTGCAAGTTTAATTGCGTGCACTGGTTGGCTAGGAGATAAGCTGCCTGTGTGTATTTCTGCATTACATCAGTGCATTTACAGAGAATTCATCATCATTAAACTTGAGGAAACACCACTGAAAATAGGGATATACAATGAGCAAAACAGGCTTGTTGCAGTCGCGCATGTTCCTTTGATGTGATGATGATGTTGATATCTTAGTGATGCCATTGTTCATCTGCTATGATGTGCAGCTGGCATAAGGTGAAATGAAAAATGCATGCACGTGTAGAAGGAAATACATGTCAGACTATACGAAATGTGTATCTCTGTTATCTGAAAGACGTGTATGATCCTATATAGATAAACTCTCAAACCATATGTGGTTCAAGAATTCCATAAGGCAAAATTCTTCCTCATGTGTTTGCTAGAAGGAATAAAAAAAAAAAAGGGAGAAATTGCAATGTAGACAAGGAAAGCTATGGGGTTTGTTTTTTCCACTGCAAATCCTATAGTGTGGATTTATTTGCTTCACTTAAGGCATGTTTACAAGTAGGGCCAGGAATTGGAAAGCTTTTTCAGGCGTCCACTCCTCGGGTATAATGAAGTAAGTCAAAGAATCATGCCGTTCTTTGGTGATTAGTTTAGCCACTGTGCCAGGATCTAGTGCATTTTGATAGGAAGAAAGACACTATTAGTGTGTTTACAACAGCTGCCTTTTTCTTCCGTGTATTTGTTGTGATAAATTTTGTCAGTTAAAATGGGGCAAATTTATAGCCATTGTAAAAGCTTACAAGTCCATTTATTTGTGCTAGGCGGTAAAACTCTTGGTTCTTTCATTGGAAATGGGAACCGTTCTTTTTTTTAAAACTGACTGGTATCCTTGAACACCTCGTAAGTCAGCTGAAAGCTCTAGTTGACCCTGCAAGGAAAGGAATTGGATCAGGGCCATTATAAAATGTTTCCACTCATTTTTAAAATGCTTAGAAACATTACTTTGACAGATAACTTTGCTTTCTTTTCTAATACTGGTTGGTGTCTGTAATTTTACAAGTTCAAGCATGTTAATAATGTGGAGTGAAATAGATGTCTCTTCCTTGGGTCTGCCGAGCCTCTAGGAGTAACACAAGCCATGCATGGTGGGAAGTGGTTTCACCGTGGAAGCCTGGCCTTTACATATATTTCAGGTTTAGAGTTTTAAAGGCAGCAGAGCAGTACCCAAAGTGCTACTCAACGCCAAGAATTAGCACCAAATAAAAAAGCTAAAGGGCTGGTTGGATATTGCCATATGACATGCCATTACGTAGGAAGTAACAAGAAATAGCTGTTCCGCGCTGCCTCTCTCGCTGTGCACTAAGTGCCTTATTAGTCCACTTGACAAGAGGATTGAGCTAAACTGCATGAGTCCCACTTGGTACATAATAAAAGCGTGTATTGATGGAGCTACTGTAAAAATTAAAGTTATGCTTTAAAATCTCACAGTTAATTCTGAAATTTATCCCCAAGAAATGGCCCCTTAAAGAAAAGAAAAAAATCTTTGTGGGGCCCTGAAAAGCTTGAATTAATAAATTTAGACCTTTTTTCCTGCTTTCGTGTACTTTCTCGCAGCTCGCTTCTAAATCCAGCTCTGAGTGTCTCTAGTTAGGTCTTGATTAAAATAAATATCCATAGACTACTGCATGTGACTGTTTAATAGCTTCAAAGAGAACAAATTCTACTGAGACACAATGTATGAAGCTTTGTACCTAAAGAACAATCCTAACACTTCTACTTGTAACACTTGGGCAACTGCTTTCCAGGATAGCATTAACCGGTCTCAAGTCTATGTCCACCACAGGTACAAGAATGAGTGATCACGGTAATAGAAGTTTTGGGGGTTGGGGTTTTTTGCTACCACTGAGCGAATCTGCGGTATTGTTTTGTATATACATATTTTGTAATATGCGGGTTTTATAGTTGGGGTGCAGCCTATCTACAAGCTTATGAATTTTACAGGTAGATCGGTGCACTTGTACTTTGAAAGTCTTTATATAAATTGTTTCTTTAACTCTTCCAAATATATATAACAATAAATATACATACGTTAGGAATATATATATATTAACAAATATGTATGTATTTTTATTTCTCCTTCAGTGACACAGGTTCCTACTTAAGCACCTGATCCCTTATGCAAGCAAAATAACCAGTGATTTTGCTCAGAGATTAGCACGTGCAATGGACCGCAGGCTCATGAGCTGCTGCCTAGAGCATTTTTTCCTTTTGGAGATAAAACTGTGAGCTTTCCGTTGTGCAAGTTTAATGAAAAAAACCCGTTTGCAAAGGTCCTCCATGTGTTCTGGATTGGCCACTATAGTATGTATACTGAATTGGTAAATACAGCTCTCCGTTACTCTTCAACCATGGCTTTTTAACCCAGTCAAGCAAAGCGTAATTAAAGTAATCTGTTAAATCCTGCATGTAGCAGGGTGCGTGCTTTCTATGTTATAATATTATGGGACAACCTTTTTAAACTTCTTATTTAAAAAAAAAAGGGGGGGGAAGTAGTTAAAAAAAACAACAAATAAACCAAAAAACCAAAACCAAGACCCCACAAATGTTACGAGTTATAGTGAGGGTCATATTTCCCAGCGCTGACCGATCGGAATAGCCGAAAAGTTGGGAGCTATGGGAAGACACTTTTACAGACCTTCTCTTTGGAGGCATTTTCTCTTGGGTAGCACTTGTGTCTCACATTTGTCACATTTGTGTATGAGGATGTTTTCCTGCTGCTCTGCTCCACACTCAGGCCGCCTGTCTCCCCCTGTGGTTGTTGGGGCTCCGGAGCGAGCACCGTAACTGCTTTTCTCTTTGCTCCATCGTAGAGCGCAGTAATTATGCCTTTGGGACCTGTGCAATAACTCTGCAGCTTTTTCACTGCAAGAAGTTGTCATGTAGGAGATTCCTGCCTCTTCCCTGTCCTTGCCACCCAGCTTACTCACCTAAGGAGCAGGAATTAGGTATGCGCAAGGGAAGCGCATTTCAGAGCCTTTGTCGAACAGCTTTTAAAAGCCAAATGCATAGGCTTGGGCACACCACATTGCATCTTAGGGCTTTGTAATTTTTTTTTTTTTTTTTCCAAATCCAGACTAGCTCTTTAGCAACATTTAAAAGAAATCATTTCAACATTTCAACATTTTAGAGTGCATAACATTCACTGAGAATCCTGGGCACTTTGGGACTAAAAAAATGCACTTCTAAAGTGAGATGTAAAGATAGTAACTATTCAATGGTAGGAACTGGAAACAGAAGTGATAAAACACAGATTATATTTTTTAGGATGTGAGAGGACCTTCTCTGAGCACAGTAGTACCACCACTGTAATTTTTAAAGGATGATTTCACTGGGCTGCTTCCTTGCACTTAATAAACAACCTGTGTTTTCTGCAGTGGCAAAATAAACAGTGGTGTGAAAAACACAGTGAAGTTTGTTCCTGTGCCATGAAGTCTCGAGCAAAATATTCCAGAGCAAAAACGTTGCACGGGTGCAGGTCCGGCTAATGGAAGGGAGTTCTCCAGACTGTTGGACTGGAGGACTTACATCGGCAATGACGGTGCATCGTTATTAAAGAAGGAACGGACCGTGGTCCCCATCTCATGGGCTTTTTTCCGTATGCCCTTTTTCTCTGTGCTGTACCTGAACGTCAGCCACGGTGTCCTCATCATCCGCCTAAGCTGCAGCGAGGACTCAAGAGCAGGCAGCGTCCCTGCGTGCAGCCACTCGTCTCGTCTCGAGCGACGACGGCGTGGAGTCCCGCTGCCCCAAGAGAGCGATGCCTACCGATGACGCGGTTCCTACGCCCTGGCCAAGCAGATAAGGTATGTAAACCCTATAGGTTTTATCGCTGTCGTTCCACGTATGTTCGACGCGTGAGTTCTTTTTGTTGCGCTTGGTTAATAAATCTGTTTAGCTGGGACGCTAGCTCTGCGTTTTCACGCTGTCGCAACGGCGACCGGGGTGAAAGCGCGGCCGCGGAGCCCGCTCCCGCCGCCGATCCCGGCCTTTGCCGTTTAGGCGATCGCTGGCCGCACCGACGGGCAGAGCGCGGCCCGGGCCCGG